GTAGGGAAAATGTTGGTAGAGAAAAAAGAGGAGTAAAACATTGAAAGAGAGACATCAAGCAGATCATATCTTGCTCGAAACTATTTTCCACTTGCAAATTTTATATAGAAATTTTCATTGGGAATGGGATGATTTAGGAACACGGTTAGAACTTGAACCACCAATTCTTCAACTCCGAGTCAATTTGCTTGGCGTCTTGAACCAAATAGTCACAACAAACCACGACTAGGCTGGCCATCATGTTCAGAAGACCGAGCGAAAGTGTATTATGCTTGTTGAAACTAGAAAACCAACACTGACATATTGTGTCTTTGGTTTACCTGTATTTTGTGGTTGATAATCCAGTTCTGAGAATTTGCGGTTTGCAAAATTCGTAATTCAAATGTGTGAGTGTGTGTGTATATATATATTGCAGTTGGATGCGAACTAAATAACAATGAATAAGGGAAGAAGGATTGGATGGAGAACATTGGTGAAAAGTAACATCACGGAAGAAGTGATTAGCAGGTTTCTTGGTGTGTCCACTAGCAAGGAACAATATATGTATCATTAACACAGAAGCCCCTGCATTTCCATCTGAATTCATTGTTTTCTATCCACGTTAGATATTGTTCATCACGCCAGTTGCTAGTATTGAAGCAGTGATTGTGTATACTTGACAAAAATAATTTGAGGGAAAATGTACATGAATATTTTCCTTGTTAACGATCAGTTATGTCATTGACCAAGTGAAATTACTGGCATATATTTGATTTGCAAAATCAGATGCCCTTATGCCCTTGTTACTCAATTAGCGCATGCTTGTTATAATTTTTTTCGCCGGGAAGGCCGAAGGAGGCCAACTGAGTATATTAAGAAGGAGTAAAAGTTACAAGAAAAGACATCAAAATGCACCAAGGTGCATTGCCACACACCACACACTACCACCCAAGCACAAACCATTGAGGATGAAGCCTAGCACCAAACGACCCCCGCTAAGCATGGCCGGATGCCGCTAGGCCTACGGCAACACCACAGAGAAGAGGCTCCAAAAACGATGCCACCACGGTGGTCACGACATCCAAGAATGCCGCCATCGCCCATCTAAAAAGATGTGCTTTTCACCTAGAGAAGCTCATCAAGCAAGGGAGAGGGTAACCCTCGACAACACCCCAAGAGGTTACGACACCCAAAGGCGTAGCCGCTGCCAGCCCGGTGAACCACCGAACTAGGCTTTTGCCTGAGACCCTACACCCTTGACTGCAGATCGCCATCCACCAACTCAGAAACCCCACACATACATATGGCAGCACGCAGCATCCACCACACCACACCGACGCCCGTCCGTCGGCCGACTTCATCGAACCACCACCCCTAAGAGCTAGCCCAGGACCCCTCCGTTCCACCACCCGCCTGCCGCCTCGCCAGATTTGGCCGAAGGAAAACCTAGGATTAGGTGGTATTGCTTTGGCAGCCTGAGCTTCCCCCGTTGACGAGCTGCCGCCTCAATCCAATCTAGAAACTCCCCGCAACGAAGGGGATGAGCTCCAGAAAGGGCGAGGGTGCCAACCGGCAACGAGGAAGACGACCCACCGCCGCCAGCTCCCTTTACACTGCCATCTTGGCTTGCGCCGACGCCAGTGACGCTACTGCTACTCCGGCTCCAGCGCAACCCGCTGGCACCCCCGTCGTCCGGCTGCCGCGCCCCGCCGCCCACCTGGCCGCGAAGGGCACCGCGGCGGCACCCCGGATGTCGAGGCCTTCCAGCGTCGCCATGGGGCATGCGGCCGCCCTAGGCTGCCGCAGCGCCGTCGCACGTGCTGCCGCGTCGAGCCGCGGGATGCCGTGCTGCCCCCGCCGTCGCGCCCGGGCTGCCGCGCCGCCCCCGCCGTCGCGCCCGGGCCGCCAACCGCGCCGCCACTGAGCCGCCGCCGCCGCCCCCCAGCTGCCGCCGGCCAAATCCGGGCGCGGGATCGCCAGATCCGGCCTTCGAGGTGCCGGATCCGCCTGTCACACCTCTGGCCGCGGTGAGGGACTTCGTCGGCTTCACCCCGTCGATGTCGCGCCGGGGTGGGAGACGCCAAGAATAGGGAGAGCCTCACCTTTGCCTTCCCTGCTCGCCGCCGGCTTTGCCGCCGGCAAGCTCCGGCGATAGCGAGGCAGCGGAAGAGGGAGTGGAGGTGCGGGCGGCTAGGGTTTTTTTGCCCCCCGAGCCGCCCGCGCGAAAGCGACACGGGGAGAGAGCCTAATCATACGCTTGTTAGAATTTTTATACGGAGGTAAAGCAGGTGTTTCACAAGATCCACGAGCACAGAAAAGAATAACATATATATATATATATATATATATATATATATATATATATATATATGATCTGTTATGATCAATATGTCAGTTTTGCTGTATCAACTTTTGCCTGAGAGGCGTCCACAAACCACACTATCCCTGTGCTGTTCATCATCTTCACATTCTCCAGAGAACCATATTTATCCTGGCCTGGTTTGTTCCCATACATATCAACGCTCCATGGTCATGTGGCTGTGAGCACGACTCTAGTGTTATTTATGACAAAATGGAGCAGCATTAAGTCCACTGGAACTCAACAAAATATTTACATGTTGTCTCACCTATAAGCTTGATGGGCATCTAATACATCTGCAAAATTAGTACGTCATGCTTCTGTGATGTAGTATGCGGCAGAGCCCAGACACTGGCTCAACATGGTTGTCGAACTTTAGCTCCGCCGTTGTATCTACCAAAAAATTAAGCATATCTCCGCTGCTGTGCTCTACCAAACAAAATTGACAAAATTATTAGTAACAAAACTTATCTAAGATTTAGTACTACAAAAATTTTGGTATGGTTTCAAATTCAAATAGAGCATTGATAATATATACTTTGTGCATGCTTGCGCACAAGTTGTAATGTATCATGGTGGACGCACGGCATAGATAATTCAGCTACTGGTTAAAACAGTTCTCCGGTATATTATAGTGCGGGTGCGTATAATTAAATGTATAGGAAAAATAGCACGAGTGATGATGTTTTTAGGTCCTGTTGTTCCTATCATGTAAAATCTACAACATTAATATTAATCGGTACCAAAAACATTATGGTCACCATAAACATCTATCTAGTAAAAGTCCATGAAACTTCCTACAAACGCTCATAACCCGCCACTTGGCACTCCTACAAACGCTCCTAAACCGCTACGTGGCACTTTTAATCTAACCGTCGATTTTCATTTAAATTGGTGGACCTACTATTTTAGACCTTTAGATTAGATCTATTTAGAGAAGTCCCAGCTTCATCGAAATTATTTACCAGAAAAATTAATGTACATACCGGATATAAACCTTCCGTATTGTTCTCTTAAAAAAACCAAACAGACGTACGTACGTACAAAGATTAAAAAAAAACCAAAAAACCATATGTATGCCGTAAGAACAATACGGTCTTTCGAATATAGTGTAGTACGTATTGTGTATGCCTTTCTCTGTTTTTTATTTATCAACGAACAGCAAGTACATACTTAAGACTTATCTATCTATCCACGGTCTTTAAAATAGGATTTCCTATATTATAAAATAAAATTTATTACTCCACAAATATGCACGGTTAAACTAAATTAATATAAAGTACCAAATCAACTGTCTTTAAATGTTCATCTTTTAAATTATTTCTCAAATATATATCTAACTTATAATCCTTTGTCATTCTTTAATTAAATAAAATACTAATCACTTATAATAGTTATATGGAACTGCTAAATTCATTACGAAACATGGTGCCGACATATAATACGTAATGTGATAATTATTTTTCAAATAATTTAGCTAACATATAATAACTAATGTCATTTTTAAAATAATTTCACATGAAAAAAATGATCAACTTGGTGTCAAATTCACTTGGCAAATATATAACACTAATTCAAATCTACATGCAGAAAAAGTGAAACAACGTTGTGGTTTACAATCAGATTTGATTTTATTTTAATGTATGTGATATTAAGATTCTCTTTTTTTTTAAAAAAATAGAACTATTTGATGGGAATTTCCAGGCAATGACCTTGCTATATTACGACCCCTTAATCCATCAGGAGAATTACGGTCATGTATGGTTTTTCTTTGCGAAATTGGTTTGGTAACAAATGAAAAATCATTTGCATCAAACTATTCATCATATATTTTTTATAGTTTAGAAATTCTAATATATCAAACATAATTGATGATGTATGTCATACACCCCACTGAAGTAAGTATAAATGCACTCCAACAAATTAGTTACTTTAAATAATTTTGGAAAATATATTCTTAGAATTAGTAAAGATGTCGCATGTAATTATGAACAATACATGAATGAAAACAAACCGAAGCTAAACTATATATCTTAGTCAAAATATAAAGAACAATATGGTACTCCTAGATGTCATGGTCGTATGTCTGTTTAGTTATATTTTTTTATCAACCTTGCTCATCTGAAAAGAGAATATTGTATCTACGCAATAAAAAAAAATAAGCATTACTGATTAATACCATGCACAATTTTGTCTACACAAAACTTTAAAAAATTCACTAGGGAAATATTTTCATCACCTACATTCCCTCTTTTTTTCCCATAAAGGGCATCAAGCATGTTGTGCTACCACAAGTGTAGCAAGGGTCATACATTCGGTTGAGTTGAAGCCACCCCGACAAAGGCTACTATTGACAATAGTGCATAACTTTGTACTTACTGATGCAATTATCTATGAGGGTGCTGATAGTGAACTAGACATTAAAATTACGCTTCATGCTGGCATTGTGGGGCACGACTATGTCGACTCAGGACCTATGTTTAAAGGCAGTGGAGAAATAAAGTCTCGATGGATACGGTCAGCTTCACCCATTAAAGGGGACATTCATATTTGATTTTAACGGTCATCAAAATTAAAAAAATCTTATAAATTATAAGAAAAAAATATGATCATCGGTTTACTTAAATTATTTAGAAAAAAAATAGAAAAATAAAGTACCCAAAACCTCGTCCTCCCCGGCACATGCACAAAACATTGCCGGTCCCCTTCAACCTTGGCTCATGCTCTCCGCTCTCCATTCCTCCCCCTTCCTATGAATAATACTGAAAAGACCATATTTTTAATATATATACATAACATTTCTAATCTAATTGTTACTCTGTTAAATAATTAAACCAACAATTATTGATCCGTAATGCCTATATTTTTAATCTAAAATAAGACTTGTATAAAATAAAGTAGAAAAGTAGAAAAAAAGTCAATAGGGATTGAATCAAATCAATTAGAGAGAATATAGTAATAAATTTCTAAAAAATAGAAAATTGGAACAACCATTGTATGTTCCATTGCCATAACCATCCATCTGTCGTGGTATTATGAGTTTCTCATATATTATTGCATATATAAGACATACTAAGGTAGCCAGACGTAGTAGTACTTAGTTGGTTAAAAAGTTATATATGTGCTACTATCAACTTTAAATTTAGGACTCATATTGCCTAGGTATTTTTTTTAAAAGAACACCATAAATCACATATATAAAAGGGAAAGGACGCATACAATATATATATCTCCTATGTATTTATTGTCTCATTCTTTCAAGAAAATAAAGAAGATCATTGATAATTGCTTATAGTAATGAATTAAATATTATATAGTTCAAACCTTACAAATGTCTTGTAAAACAATATCTAAGCAATAGCGATGAAGAAAATTTATAAAGAAATACTCCCTCCGTCCCAAATTATACCAACTATAATCAAACTCGGTAGCTTTTAACTAATAAGCATAGTAGCTATATCTAAGTATTATGCATGTTACATCACTAGATTTATATTTTGAAGTACTTTCATGTGATGCTAATTTCATATTTGTTGGGATAGAATGGAATAAAGTACTGGTCAAAATATGTTATTAAAACCTGTGTAAAAAAAATAGGTCTTATAATTTGAGACAGAGGGAGTAGTATTTTTCAAGCATAGCAGGTATCATCCGATTGATATTCCCAGTGTAACCTACTTTACATGCCCGGGCGAATGCGCGGGCTACCTTCCTAATTATGCTAAAACGAGTCCTTTTTTGGTTTCTATTGTTTTCAAGGATAGGAAGATGTTGTTTGCTATGTATTAATAGACACAGAGTAAAAAAGTACAAAATATTGGGGGGGGGGGGCGAATAAAAATATGATACTCTCCCCCAGTCCCAACATTGGAAGATTTCTGGGTTCTCACGCTAGCTGTATATAAATACACCTAGGACAATACTCATATTCCTCGCTTACTAACAATGTCAAATTCTCAAACCTCGAGTCTATTACAAACACAAAGGGTACACTTTTAGTAGATATCGGTAGAAAAGGAAATATATTGTGAATAGGAGGACACGGGATGAAGTCTGTCAGCAATGATGAAGGCGCTCTAGTTCCTTGGTCACTAGCACGAACAACAACGCAAAATCCCATTAGGGTATTCCCAACCCTCCACCTCAGATGGTTGTCTATAGAATCTATTAGGCTGCCACATAAGCAAAATTCTGATGTGGCAAGGTAATTAAAGAAGTGAGGGAAGAAAAAAGAGAGAAACGGTGTCTCATGCACAAAACCGGATCGGCGCAGGCACCAAGACTCAGGAAACGAGAGAAATCAGCGTTGGGGCAACTCATTGTTTCTTCTGTCCGGATTTTTCTCAAGCTCCTGATCTTCTATGCCTGTTCGGTACTACTACTCTGTAGATTGATGTTGATCTTTGGGTATATGTATTGATGAGTGCCACAATTGATCCTTCTCTATTCATATGACATGCAAAGAGTCATTAAATTTTCTTGTCTATAAAAACTGCTATAGACACTATGCATTGGAGAGGTAGTGTCTACATACATTTATTATTGTTTCTGTTGTCTAGACACTATCTATAGACACCATGGGTTAGGATTGCCCTTACAGTCAGCACGCAACATAGAACATGCCGCCATCCATCACATATGTACTGCATTTTGGGGCTGCTCTTGATTATGTATGATATGCTTAGTGATGAGCTGCCTTGGAGATGTTACGAGCTCCTGTACTCATACCAATGGCCCCCAAGAGATCAATGTCCATGAAATAACCCAAGGTTGTAGACAGCGACCACAACTCGAATTCTCTATTTATGCCGCATAATTCCATCAGATTGTTTCATACTGGCTAAATTATTTTTTTAGCATTTTTACGTTATTTGATTGCACAACCATTTATTGTACAAGACCATGCACCGGGAATCGCTGCGGGAGGAAGATTGGAAGCGAGCGTGGCACCTTTGTAGAGCGAGGACTCCGGAGAAGGGAATTGGGATTTCGGTTTTCCTACTTAGGGCTACTGTTGGATCTTTTTTTTACATAAAACTTAAAAGAAAACTTGATTGGGAACAAAGACGGGATTCTGTTGTGCATTCTCTTAGATGCGAGAGGTTATAAGTGTATAAAAATAAGCACTTGGATTGTCTATGCCACGTGATTCCGTCAGGTTTTTTCATACATGCATTTTGGGTTGCACTTAGTTTTTTTTCCCATTTTTCAGATATTAGATTGCACTTATTGTCGCCTGGAAAGAAGTTGGCTAATGATCTACTACGCTGCAGAGTTAGCTGAACACGATGAAAGATGATTGAACTTACTACTCATCAACATGGTGCCTTGAACCCTTTTGCCCAAGAACAGCTACAGTGGTTACATGAAAAGAAATAAATCTGCAACCTTAGTTTCATGTTACAACTATTGCAAAACATTTATTGAAATTTACACATGAAGAATGGAAAAAATATAATATGCGCATGCTTAATTACATTCCATGGGCAGTTTCACTCTTGTGTTCTATATATAAAAGTTGAAAAAAATACTAATAACATCCTGACGAAGGGAGGGCCCAAGCATAGTTATATGAATATTTGTGACTAAACTTGGGTATTTAAAGGACACCGAAATGATAAACTTTGCAGTAATCATTAGTCATATGAACAGACAGATTTTCGTGTCTCGGTGGAATTGAAATGTTGAGAACTTAATGCCCACCTAATTACCATGTGTTTGGCTTCAATGCCTTGGCACTGCCACTTTTATTACTCATCCTTGCTACAGTTAAGTATACTAGCTAGCTAGGAGACTAGAGTGATGATATATAGCTATAGAGGGGAAAATTTGTGAAGAGTGGAAATAAACCAACAAACAATTTAACTCGCGAAAACACTTCTGGTCCAAAAATGGTTCAATTTTAGTTGGTATCGATATGATATAAAAGAAAATACGTTGTGAATGGGAGGACACGGGAAGAAGTATGTTGTTCGGGATGAAGGGGCACTAATCGATTGGCCATTATCACCAGTAGCAAAGCAACTTGAAGCTACAGTCAGCACACAACAAACAATCAGTCACGTATGTACCGCATGTTGGATCTGTCTGGATTATCTGTGCTGCCTTGGTCCTTGGAGATGCTACGAAATCATCGTCACATCCGATTGGCAGAACAGAAGATGAAGGCCCAACCCAACACCACATCTCAAAAGCTCAGCAGGATAAACATTGGAATATCGAAATGTTTTACCCTATTACACTGGTTGCTTCTAAAAAAAAGTGTGGAACATCAGTTTGTGTTAAAACTGTTCCAAAAACACTTCATGAATAGGAAGATGATCTTGTGTGCATACCTTCCTTAAGGCGTCAATGTTTAGTTCCATACATAAAAAAATTAAAAAAAATACACAAAACATCCAGATGAATGGCCTTACTAAAGCATATTTTAAAGACACGAAACTGACAAACTTTGGAGTAATCGATAATTTCATATATATGGACAGCTGTCAGCTAGAGAAATTTTTGTGTCTTCTTGAAATTGATATGTTTAGAACTTGGTGCAGAACGAATTAATAATTACCATGTGTTGTCTTCAATGTCTTTTGTACAGCCATTTTCTCGTGCCCCTATTTCTTTACACATCCTGGCTAGCTACCTAGCGTGTGGTAAAATTGTTTGGAATGGAAATAACCGAATAACATTTAAATAAACTTCGTTCGTATCAAAACACGACTACACATAATTTGATTTGCTTCAGCGCACAACTGTTCTTTGAATACCCTCACCAGGGTTCTTCTTCTTCCCCATTCAGATAGTCGATCACAACTACGCTGGACAGTGAAATAATTACTACATTTCTAAAGTTTAGGGACGAATTGTGATGGGAATGGGAGGATCCAGGAAAGACAACAACACTGGTTCATCATCCAATCCTGGTGAACCAAACTGCTACCATGAGTCACTGGTTATTTAGGTGATCCATCAAGCTTCTTGGTGTCACCCTATGAATTTCTTGTTCTGACCCACTGGAAATAAGAGCCCCAAGAGCAGCAGTAGTACCTAATGGGGAGAGAAGAATTGTGATTCAAAGATGCAATGCTGACTTTGAGTGTATACAAGCATGTCAGTCTTCCATTTTGATGGTGGACATGAATGGCCCAATTGTACAAGTTGTGCAATTAGATCATTTTAATTTAATTAGTTCACATAACAGTATTTTTCTTTGTAATGGTTGGCTTAAAACAACTGCTGTCCAGCAGTGTCAGGTTTTATAAACTACTCCGGGGGAGTCAATTCATAGTAGATTAGCTCCTGCTGCACCATGTTTTATAATTTAATTCCTGTGTGTTCCAATGTTTCTCTTTAGTTTGTTTTCTTAGGGGAGTTTTTCTTAGTTTGTAATCACCCAAAAAGATGACCGGTGGGCATCCATAGAAACAACTGTACAACTGATCAGTAATCCTATGAGGGTATCACGAAAATAAGTGATCTCGACCATTAATTTATTAGTTCTATTATCAAGATAAAAATTGATCAAACTATACCAAATAATCTGTTTCCTATATCTCGCAAGTCAGAATCAACTGTTTCTGTCGAGAAATGGAAAACCAACGATTGTATTTAATTCCGGGTGGGCTGCCATCGTTACTTGCTTTTTTTTTTTCTATCTGAACTTGCTTTTTGGTTAAAAAATAATTTAACCGAAGACTAGAACAGATCACATTGCAGGCGTGGTTATAGATGGCCAAAGGGCCCGCCCGGCACGGCCCGGCCCTGGCCCGGCTAGGTACGGCCCAGCAGCCATCGGGCCGGCACGGCTCGATAGGCACTTCGTGCCGGGCCGTGCCGGCCCATGGGCTGCACCTCCCGCCCAGGCACGGCCCACCAGCTGTCGGGCCGTGCCGTGCCGGCCTGAAGGCATGGGTGGTCCATCGGGCCTTTTTTAAAATAAGTATATTTTTCGTTCCTCCTCTTTGGGCTATTTCATATGTATAGCTAAAATAAGTCTATTTTCCGTCCCTCCTCTTTGGGCTGACATATGTATAGCTAAAATAAGTCTATTTTATGTCCCTCCTCTTTGGCTGACATATGTAGAGATAAAAAAAGTCTATTTTAGATCCCTATTCTTTCGTCCATGGCATATAATATGTCTATTTTTACTCCCCTATTTTTTTTGTGTATCGGGCCTAGCTGCCGGCCCATCGTGCCGGGCCGGCCCAACATGCCGGTGGAGGGGCCCAGGCACGGCCCGGTGGTCGGCCCGGGCCGGCACGGGCCCGACCTCTGTCGGGCCGTGCCGTGCTTGGGCCGGGCCAAAATACCGTGCCATGGGCCGAGCCGTCGGGCCTCGGGCCTTTTGGCCATCTATAGGCGTGGTGAAGCTGGACAAGCGACCTCCCCACTCTGCTTTGGCCACTGCCTCCAATTTAACCTGCCTACGATGTTGGCCTCCATCACCTCTCGCTCAACACCGGATAGGTTCCTGATGAGGACTAGGGTCTCGAGCTTTCATTAGGTATTGGGATAGGTTGATTAGAAAGACTTGACGTTGATGATACAAAGGCTCCGATCAGGACGATCAGACCCCTCACACACGAATGACCTCGTCGATAAGGCTATCTCCTACAAGCGAATTGAGAACACAAGCAAGAGTGTAGAAGATGCAATCTAAATATATTGTGCATATAAGATGAATCTCACAAATTAGGGTTCGACAAACCAGACTAGCGGTAAAACTACATTGGCAGAATAAACTAAGCAAAACTCCCCTCTAAACGATGAAGGCTGCTAAATAAATAGGATTAGGAACATTTTAGGGTTAACCCCAGGTCGCACACCCCCTTGCACTTAGTCCATGACATAATTATAAGGCCCATTGTCCAAATCAGACTCAAACTAGATAAGATACGAATTGTTTTGCAGATTGTCGATTGCTCATGAAGAATTTTAATGTGTGACCAAAACCATATGATAGTAGACTCCATAAGCTTTTCAAAAGTACTCACAAGCCTGAGAGTCCTTCTATATCAGTAGTTAGGTCCGTTTGATGTTGATGTTGTCATGAGGCTCGAATCTGATTCCAAAATATGGAGAAGTTATTCTCTTGCTTTAAATGGACCAAAAGTGACGTGGGGACGTTGGAGTAGACTTGGTGAAGGATATTGATTGGTCTCCAATCAACTTAATTGATTATCGAATGTTTGTTCAAATATATAGTAAATAAACCTAATATATATATAGAGCATGTGAACGCTTGTTGATGTGTAATATAAGAATGATTATATCCAAGCCAGTAAAATCCTCATCAGTCGAGACCCCTGCCAATGCCACGACGGCCTCCCACCTGCCTAGCCTTTAGTCGGAGGCTACTACAAAACTATATAGCTTTATTGGATGTTTAATTAGATTATGAATGTACGTTTCCAATTATGTATTGAACGAGTTGAAATTATTTGTATTTTGTCAATAAAGAATTGTTAATTAATTTTCAGTTATTGGTCTGTTAACATCGTGTTCTTGTGAGTGTTATCATTAATTAAAATATAGCTCTAACATTAGTAAAACTAGATGAATATCCCGCCACGTTGATGGGGGAATTAAGTTAGATAATATGAATACATTAGGTGAAATTAAGTTATATAATTTGCACATGGGTTGCAATATAGTTCACCATGAATAATTGATACTTAAAAATTTTGAGCCTAAAAATAGCTGATTACATGTTTTTTTTATGAGAGAAGATAGAAGAGACAATTTGTATCATAGATCCATCATCCAAAGGATAAGAATAATTGGGATGATGTGACTGTGTTCTCTTGGAGGGGTTGGAAACCCCTCCCCTCCGCACGCAAAACAGAGCGATAGATTAACACAAAATTAATTAAGTATTAGCTATGATTATGGTAGGAATAGAAGGATATAGGAATGAAATGAACACTAATATCCTGTCGATCAGAGTATATTCAAAAAATCCAATTTAACCGTGCTGCCTTCACAGCTAGCAATGGAAACTTATAGGTTAGCTACCCGTACCCTTTGTCAGGACTGCACACAAAAGTTGTATATAAAACCAATCACACTCCTCTTCCTACATGTAATCACACATTGTTCTTTGGTTTTCCAATACTATCAACAGTTCACTTTTCTAAACTCGAGTTGATAATAATACTGGAACGGGCGGTTCCAGTAAATATGTTAGCTCGATCTCGATTACTTCTTCATGTAGCATGGGGATCAATCTAATGTAGGGAGGGCTAGGTGTCCAACACTTTGTTTACTCTGTTTTATTTAGTGCCCCCAAATATAAGCTCTACGTTTGTCTACTTAAGAATAATCATGTATTATTTACCTCTTATGATATTCCACACATCAGTACAATCATCGTTGTCATGAGTTATGACATTAAGTGATACATGCCAGTTTCAGTATGTTGTACACGTCGGTTACCTCTGCTGTTCAATTTCCACAAGTTCAGTTCGTTGAATTGATATTTTTTGTTCAAGTTTAAACCCTGGTCTGGTTTATCAGGAATATTGATTCATTGCAGCTGTGCAGGTGTATGTAGGGTGGGCGTCGATTTTTTTTTTTTTTTGGCTTCATAAGTTCGGTTTCTCATGAGCTCGGTTGTCATAGAATGGAGACCGAAGAAACTGCGAAAGGGCCCGTAGCCCGGTAGTTACAAGAGTCTCAGTAGCATCTTAGATTCTGGGTTCGATTATCCATGAGAGTGAATTTTCCAGGATTTATCGGCGTTGTGCTTTCAGTGATTTTTCTAGGACTTATCGGCATTGTGCTTTCAGTGGTAGGGGGTGAGTGCACGTGCGTTGTGAGTGTCAGTGTTGTTATAAATTTATAAAAAATAACTTGAGAAAAAACAAAAACCGAAATAGAAACACCTAAATGCGTTGTGAGTGTCTGCGTTGTTACTATGTAATTTAAAAAAAAAGAAAAAAATTGAGAAAAAAAAGCCGAAATAGAAACACCGAAAAAAATCCGAAATAAAAACAGCGATGTAATTTAAAAAAAAGAAAAAACAAACACAGAAAAAAATCGGTTCGGTTTTTCCCGAATAAATCCATCGCCGTTGGCTGGTCGATCTCATGGGTTGCAGCGTGGGGCCCATGCGGGACATCAGCGGCGCATGCATGCGAAGATTCCAGGAACACTGTGTGGGGTCCACATTTAAGCTAGGGAAAATTGGAATCATGCCATTATAATTTTTCAAATTTGAGATATATCATCCTAACCCACATATCATTGAATCATGTGGGTCCTACATGTCATTAAGATACCAATGGCATATCTTAAACTTTACAAAATTATAATGGCATGGTTCCAAATTACCCAGGAAGGTAACCATGTTCCCATGGCCCGGCCCGTGGCCCGACAGCCCGGCCCGTGGCATGGCGCTTTGGC